CTCATTGCATGATCTCAGGGCTGCCTTCTGCTTCCCATCATTTCACAGAAGCTCATTTTATTGTGGCTTTATGCTTTACATCTAGTTGCCATTTTTTAGTAATCACTTTGCTTAATATTTTGCCACATTTGAGACATTTTTAGATGTACCCTTTTCCCTTGGCTTTCATAACAACATACACTCTAGCTGTATTCTTTATACATTTCCTGTTTTTTTCTCATTTGGTTTATGTCATCATCTGCTTTAATTGCTTTCTAGGATACCCAGGATACATTTTAAACTCTAGTCTGTCCCCTACCTCTCCAGCTTCATCCCTTGAGATTCTCTCCCTTGTTCTCGACATTTGAGATATATTACTTTTTTTTTTTTTCCATATTTTTCAGTTTCTAGATTGCATTGTGCTTTCTATTAATTTCCAAGACATCATATTATTTTTCCAGTCTGGAATGTTCTCCCTTGCCCATGTTAGAACTCAGGTCATCCTTTGCGTGTCTGACATCTTAGTTTGCATGTACTTTCCTTCCTAAGTAGTTTAGTGACTTTAAATTAGATTTCCATATGTTGTAGTGTAGTATCCTATACATTTAGTGTAACAGTCATTAAATTTTATTGCATTATATGTTTTGGATACTTTCTTTTCTATAAATTGTAGAGACCTTATTTTGTTTATTTCATCCTTATATCTCCATAGGCGGAAGAATAAAATTACATATTTTCCTTAACAAGTCTTGCTTGTTTACATTAAAGAGACGTCACCATTTCTTCATTCAGAACATTTTTTGAAATTATTAGGCCAGTGAATTTTTAAGTTGAGCCCAAGTATTTCTACAGGATACCTTGTTTAAAACAATAGTTTGCATAAAAGTGGAGAGCTCTTTCCCCATGTGTGTTATAGGACTTTGGAGTTCAGGGACTTACCCTATTTCTTTAGTGCTGTATAGAGTTTTGAATGGAATAAATTGAACTTAAATGGGACAGAGAAAGGTATTGATTCTGGAAATTATTTAAAGTAGCTGCTTTGGGGTGCCTGGGTGGTTCAGTCGGTTAAATGTCTGACTCAGGTTGTAATCTTGGGGTCCTGGAATTGAGCCCCTCTCTCTGCTCAGTAGGAAGTCTGTTTGGCCCTCTCCTGCTGCTCCTCCCCCAACTTGTGCATGCTCCCTTGCTCTCTCTCAAATAAACAAACGAAATCTAAATAAAATAAAATAAAATAAAATAGGTGCTCTTTAGATCTCAACGAAGAAATTTCTGGTCTCTCATGTTGACTAGCCTTAGTATAACTAAGACAGACTCCTCCTTGTTCTGGCCTTGGTTTTCTCCTTCATAAAATTCTGATTCTGCAAGGTAGGTAAATCAAACACCGAAAGCTATAATCCATCATATTACTTACTAATATATAGTCTACCTTTCAAAAGTGTATAGTTTCTGAACTGTGATTTTACGAATATGTAATTTTAAAGATTCATCTATGAATTCCCCAGAATTCAGTAAATGGTATTCATTTACGCAAATTAAAAAGTTTGCCTTCCATTTTTTTTTTAAGATTTTTATTTATTTATTTGACAGACAGAGATCACAAATAGGCAGAGAGAGAGGAGGAAGCAGGCTCCCCACTGAGCAGAGAGCCCGATGCAGGGCTCAATCCCAGGACCCTGGAATCATGACCTGAGCCGAAGGCGGAGGCTTTAACCCACTGAGCCACCCCAGGTGCCCCTGCCCTCCATTTTAATAATGTGGTTGAATCACACTAGTATTTTAAGTTGTTTTAATTATTTTCTGTGAAGGGCTGAAAAATATGAAAGACCTGATTGCAAAGGGAAAAAAAATGCTGAATTTATCTCACTTTACATTAAAAAAAAAGTCATGGATTTGGAATACTTGTGATGGTGATGCACAAATAATATTTTAAATATTCTTGTATAAAAATTTTTATATTTTCCTTTCTATACTGTAACATCTGTTATTAAAATAAGAGACTAACTACATTTATGTGCAAATCAAGTCATGCATGCTTCAATCATATTTATTTGGTTTCTAGATTGTTGGTGGCAAAAGTTGCTATAAAATTAAGATATGGAGTCTCCCTTGAATTACTAGTAGACATTGGTAAGAAAAGAATCACAGTGTACATGGGGCCTCACCAGTAGCAGTGATTTCTGCCAGCAGTTCTCATCCTTTCATCCATAAAATAAGCAGAAAATTGACCTAACATTGCCTGATCAGATCTGATATCTAGAAAGTAATCCTCAGGGAGTAGAAGATTCAGCCTTTCTGCATACATTTGAGAATTAGGTTTTTTCTTTTTCAGAGCCATTTTTTTTCTTCTTTGCAGTACTTGTGAAAAGTTTCTACAGAGATGTGTCAGATATGGTGTAAATCTAACAATACAGGCAGTAACTAAGTTAATCCATTTCAAAATATGGATTCACATTACAATAAAATTTTGAGTGCTAAAGTGGAAATTTCATTTAATGAAAAGAAATAGGATATTTTTCATTAAATAATTAAACCAGTAGATGCTGTTTTCATTAATTCACCTGTTACTTCTTTCTGTGAAAGAATAGGCAATACAGAAAAAAAAAAAACAGTATAATAGAGGATGAGAAAAAGTGAATTAGCAAAACGTACTTGGGAAAATGCTGTGAACAATAGGGGCAAACCATTGTTGGTACAAGGTACACGTTCTGGTTTTAAAACATAAGTGTAAAAAATTTGTCACAAACATTTTCTTAAATGACAGCTGTAAAATTGAGGTTGTTCAAAAGGGATGTTTTAAATATTCACATCAAAACCCTTTAACTCCGTTATGTATAGGCTAGAGCTATTCTGCATTTCTGTAAAATTGATTTGATTATATGGCCATTAGTGTATTAACTTTATCAAAATAATAACACTATTTCATGAAGATTCCATCACTTAACTTTTGTTTTATGCAATTCAAATCTTAATACTATCATTGGGGTAAAACTGATTCACACATAAATATTTTCCAACATAACACATGTTCTTCACTCATACATATATATTTTCCAAAATAATCTTCCATGTCTCGAGTAATTTTTGGTGACCTATAATACTTGTCATTCATTTTAGAATTTTACAGTTTGTTTTACATGAAGAGATGATCATTTAATATTATCTTTGTGAATTTGTAATGCATAATTTTTATATAAGATGTTTTAAATGATTTTTAATTTGTATTGACTTATATAGAAACCTTCTATTCCTTACTAAATAAAAAAGGTTAATTATATAAAGTATGCTTTTTTCTTTTTAATTTAAAATAATTGAAAAAATTCCTTTGAACTAAGTAATACAGCAAGAGGAGATAGCTCATGCTAAAAATGTTGCTAGGTAATTATTGAGTTTTGGAATTAAAAAGTTGAAATTGTGCATTCTTGGACTGTTTTTATAAAAGCAATACAGAATAGTGGAAATAATGGAGTAGAACTTATTGTGAACATAAATGGTCTATCCTTTTTACTTAGAGTGGAATTCAAATCCTGTTGTATCGGTGGTACTTGTTACTTTTACTATCTTGAGCTTATAAAGGCTTTTTTAGAAGTAATATTATCCTTTTTTAAAGCACACGTACAGATGTTCAGAAGTTTGTTTTTGACACAATTAAAAAATGAATGTACAACCAAAATATTTATTAGTGCTAATTAAAATGACTTATTTTTAATATGCTAAGTAGAAAAGAAATATTGTGAGAATTGATGAAAATAAAAAACCAGTGAGAATATTTATAAAACATTGGTTTTTATATATGAATAACTAGATATATTAGAAAAATTTCTTTAAAATGCCCTGCAAATATCACTTGTATTTTAAGTAAGCTTGATACCTTATAACTACTGCCTTATATCTATTATTTTATAAAAGGCTTCATAGAGTTGCAAATATGGGATTTCAAAAGTGAATTTTGATATAAAGCAAGCATTATTACAGTGTTCATAAATATTTAGGATTTTAAATGGAAATTTAAAATGATATATTTTGGTCTAATTTTTAAGAACTATAATACATTTAATTGCATGTTTGCCACATTTCTATTTTTCTTTTCAAATTAAAACAAATATGTCAAGTGTAGTTAAATCTTAAAATTCGTATTTCAGAATCTTAAAATAAAAGTATATAAATAATGTTGGGTCCCCCCAAAATTGGGTACCCCAATAATGGGTCCATGATTAAAGGAGCGAGACTGATACAAAGCGAAGGTCAAGCAAAAGCTTTATTTCGCGCCAAGCATCAGGAATCAGACCGACCATCAAACAGACTAATTGGTCCGCCGCTACAGAGAGGACGACCTCTCCCTGCTTTCCAGAGTAACTTTTATAGAGCAAAGGCCATGTGATTGGGCCTGGCCACATATAGGTGGCCAGTGGATTGTAACACAAACACACAGGAAACTCCACAGTGATGCTAGGCGACAAATTGAATTACAATTTACCCTAGTAGACATTTGAACCAGCCTATCACACCTTGGTTAGGATTGGCGCCAAAAGGTTCCCAAAGGGTGGGGCCCATACTCCTTGGTAGCTAGGAGACAGTATGCGCCCTCACTGATTGAATACCTCCACCTGGCCTGACCCACCCTTGTACTTGGACTTTGTTACCTGGGACTGGTTTCCCGGACTTGCTCTTAAATAAGTTCCCCTGGTGGGGGGCAAAGTCAGTTTAAGTTTTACAACAAAATGGCAGTTTAACCGGGGTGGGGCTGCTCTGCCTGAATAGGCCCTTACAATAAAAAAGTGAGTTGTGAAAAAAAATAATGAGTTATAATAATCTAAGTTATTAATTTTATTTTTCCTGTTTCCAAAGATCATTAAAATGCTTAAAAGATCAAAATGCTTTATTTTTAACCTCTTCAACTGTAAATGTTTAAAGAGAAATTTAAAAATCATTTAAAAAGTAGCTCTTAACAATGTCTTAACAAGAATGTTGGTGTAAATGTGCTCTTTTGCCTCTGTTTAATGCTGTATGTCAATTATTTACAGATCCGGTGGTATTGTGGAAATTCCCAGAGGACTTTGGCGACCAGGTTGGAACCACATAATTTTTAAAAATCATTTATAACTAGAGTACTATTATTATTACTACTGTTACTTCAGCAACTACTACTATACATGAATTGCTATTAAGTGCTTTCTCTTGACCAATTGTGAGGAAAAAGATCATCATGTGTGCAGAATATATATGGAAAATCTTTTAAAGTTTCCAAATAGATGGATGATGAGGAAGCCCTTTTATCAAAACTAATAAGAACTGAATGTTTACAGTTTCAACATATTTTTGCTCTCTTTTAATCTACCCATGGAATATATTTGGAAACATTTAAAAATTTTTCCCATCAAAAACTTTGTTGAATACCCTCTTACTATTTCTGTCTACTTGAAGTAGTAACTGCTGTAAATAACTGATTAGTTCTCTCCTTTTACAATGTTGTCTGAATCATTTACATATATGTTGAATTGATATTTTCTTTTCTTATGTAATTCATACCTGTAGCTTTACTTTCTTAAAAGAAAATGAGACTTCAGAATGAGTTTATTCCATTTGTATTTTATTTTTTTTAATTTATTTTTTATTTATTTTTTTAAAAGATTTTATTTATTTATTTGACAGACAGAGATCACAAGTAGGCGGGAAAGGCAGGCAGAGAGAGAGGAGGAAGCAGGCTCCCTGCTGAGCAGAGAGCCCGATGCGGGGCTCCATCCCAGGACCCTGGGATCATGACCTGAGCTGAAGGCAGAGGATTTAATCCACTGAGCCACCCAGGCGCCCTCCATTTGTATTTTAAATTGTAGTCTTTGATAGTCCCTTAAGTATTTAGTATGACCAAAATTATGAATTATTTTGACATGATATATGTAAATAGAAAAATCTTTTAAAATTTTATATTATAGATTTATCATTTTGAAATGAATTATGTAATATATGGTTAAAACACAGATTTCAATTTTTATGGAAATCTGATGAACATACTCTTATTTTTTTTTTTGCCTGCATAACAAGGGTATAAAAGAGTCTTGTCACTGTTAAAATTTAAAAATGTATAAGCTTAACCGTTAAGTTCACAGATATGATTCTTAAAATTCTCATAATTTATAAGTTGAAAGTTGACAAAAGTATTTGTTTAAAGCAGTTCATTCAGAAATAAGTATACAGAAAAATATTCGTTTAGAGCAGTTCATTCACAAATAAGTATACAGACAAATGATTTTGATATGTAGAAGGATAACTTTTTATGTGTGAAAATCTATACTAAGACTAGGAAGTTACACTGAAAAAAATCAGTAAATGGGCATGTTAAATATTAACTGAATCTGATGCAGTCCTGGACTATTTCTCACATAAAAAGAGAGGTATGCACTCTTAATTTGTTTTTAGCTCTCTAGAGAAAGAGTAGATTTATAAATATCTTAAGTATACAAAAGAAATCCCCAGTGAAGACAGGGTTTGGCTATATGATGTATAAATGGGTTTGTTTTCAAGTAATGTGTAGTTAGGTTAGAGCCTTACCGACTCATTTTAGCACTTTGAAATACTATTCTTCTTCTGGTATTCTCGATTCTTCCTTGTCCACTGACCCAAGAACAAACCTCCTGTCCAGATTATGTTTTCTTTTTTTTTTTTAATTTTCTATCTCTTAAACTGCCCCTGAGAATTCCTAAGAAATCTAATACTCCTCACTTTGGGTTTCACGTAAGGGCGATCATGTACTTGAGTTCAGCTACAGTAAATTTTTCAGTGAGACCAACTATCATTGTCCCTCTTTGTGACTGATAAACTGGTGATAGAAATTTTTTAGTTGGGGCTGAAATGTTGTTTTGTTTTCCAAAATTCGTGATGCTAGTGGAACATTAATAAGCCTTTACATACCTAGTAAAATGCAAAAGCAGTTAACTGGGTAATGGTGATGAATGTCCAGAATTCCAGTTCATGGCAATTCTTACACACTTTTTTGAAGGTTAGGACTGAAAGGACCATTAGATACCATTTTGTTTAAACACTTCACATTATATCTGGAGAAATCAAACTTTATGTAGGAATCTAGCCAAGGGCCTTGAAGAATGGTTTTCCTATATGCTTTTAGGTGAATATTCTGAGTACTACAGCTGATTCAAGTACTCTGTGTGTATTTCTCATCTTTTTTTTTTTACCATGTACTGTTGTACACTGATTCTTGCTAAACTACCTTTTTACTGGATCTGAGACTTGCTTCAGTAATAATAATTATTAAAAAGCTCTTTATTTAGCCCTTACCATGCACTGGGCAGTATACTTTGTGCTTTATATGCATAATTCATTTGTCTTCAGACCCACCCAGTACTGCTAGGAGATAGTATATTCCCCCAAAGTGAGGGTTAAGAAACTTGCCTGAGATCAGGCTGCTTATCAGAGGCAGAGCTAAGTTTTGAAGGCAAGTATGTCTAACTCAAAACCATGTGCTATTAGCAATGAAGCTATTTTCTTTCTGCTTGGATTGCTTACCCAGATCCTACTCAGTTATTTTATTTTAGCTCTTATAAAAATAGTTTATCATAACGGTTCTTTCCCCCTCATTATCTTTAAAATTTGAAATCATTGTGTTAATTAAAACAAAGAAATCATTACCCTTTGTTCTACTACATGGAGTTGTTGATTTCTCATAATCGTTGGTTTATTACAGGTTCCTCGAGTATGTCTTCCTCCTTTAGTTGGAAGAACCAGTGGGACGTTCAAAGTCACATTTCAGGGGCTGTAATTCGATTTTTTCGGGGGTACAGTGTAGAATTTTGTATAGGGAAATAGGAAATGAAGCTGTAAATGTAAATGGAGCCGGGTTTTGGTTACATTAAAGGCCTTGCTAAAGAGTTAGTCCTTCAGATGAACTTGAAGAGAGTGTGGTCTGGCAAAATACATGTGCTAGTAGTCGGGAAGAGATTTCTGTACGGATTTGTTGTGGGAGAAACCGGAAACATGGAAATTAGTTGGCTATTGCAGTAGTTCAGCTGAGGGCATCAGAAGGATCTGAAAGGGTTGGTTACATTAGGAGTGAAAACGAAGATGAGTGTAAGGGGGAAGGAGGAAAGAGGTTGCATGCAGAGGTGCTCTGTGGGGCATAGGGTAGAGAGGAATAGTGACAAGAGGATGAATTTGATTTTTGTCACTCCAAGAAATGTCGAATTATCTTTGTGTGGGTGGTGGATGGGACTTTGGGGATTGGAGAAGAATGGAGCAGTGTTACAGCTTGAGGAAATACAAAGCTGGGAGTGAATTTGAGGATTGCTAAACACACTGAGTTGATGTCAGGTTTATATTTTGCGAATACATTGAGGGCTGTCTCTGGTTGAGATAATGCAGACCAAGTCTTCCCATCCATGCCACTGATACTCACAGTATCCCTTCACACAGTTGTGAGAGGTTCATGGCCTCTGTATAAAAGGAGTAATTTTGTTTCTTTTTGCTGTTATCAAGATGATCTCTCCATTGCCCTTAGATCTCTGTTGTTCACATTTATACTTAATGGTTTGAGGCTGTTTTTCAGAATGCTTGATCCCACCCCCAACTCTCTGCTTGCCATTTTCATGGTTCATGTCTCTATAGCATTTGCTGCTTGCATATAGCACGCCCACTTCGGGCCATGGTTTCTCTGTGTTTCTTGAGAGAGAGGAGTCGATCTTTGTGAGAAAAGTACACTTTTAGAGAGGGGTCAGAAATAAAATCTTATAACTGTTGGAATCAAACAGATGTGTGTTTGGATACTGGTTCTGTATTTGTAGATTGTGTGAAGTGTTGCTTTAGATAGGGACTTAATCTCTCTTAGTTACTCATTTACAAAATGGGACTGATTTTACTGATCTGACAGAATACAGTGAGAATGAAATGAGGTCGAGTCTGTAAAGCACTCAGTGCCATGCCTGGCATGTGAAAAATACTCCGTAAGTGGGAACCAATAGTTTTGTTAAAATATTGCAAGGCCATGAATGTTTACTAATTTATTATGAGGCATAGATAAAATTGCTCTATGTACAATATAATTTTTATAGATGGATAACAAGTTTGAGAATTTTGCTACTTTATAGAACTTCAGGAAGATTTATAATTTAATGGCATAAGAGGTAGTAATATGTAAAAATTCTTCTTTAGTGTGTGCTTTCTGACTTTTCTGAAATTTCTGTGCCATTAGTTTATGACTATAGTGGATATCTGCTGTTTAACTGGCAAAACTGTTACTTTTTAGTTAGTTTTTTTTCATGAAAATCTTAAACTGTGTTTAAGATTTCTTTTTATCAGGATGGCTATCAGCAGAAGTCACAGGACCATGGAGCCATGATCTTTTAGTAATGGCCAAGACGTCATTTGGATAGGAAAGAAGATTATGAAGACCTTACCGCAGGTCATACATCCTATTTACCTTTAGTCTTGAGTCCTTTTCCTATTTTCACGCAAACTGCAGTCTTTTCATTATTCTGGGCCATTTCGTATGTCTCAGATACCCTTTTCCCATTTCTCTGATGTACTCTCTCCATAATGCAAATGAAATGTTTTATCTGCTGTGATATTTTGAAGCATTCCTCTTTTTGCGATCCAGACTTATTTTTGTATTAGTATGTCTGCCATGTTACCTGAGTAACCTGGAGTGGTTGTTCTTGGGTGTCTTATTTCAGTGAATGTTCCCACATAAGCTTCTTTTCCAAGTCAGGGACTCTTGTGCATTTATTTTTTACTTCTCTGTCCCTCATGCAACTGCTATTCCAATCTGTCCTCAAATCCTAATTCTTGTGCCTCTTTTATGTCTTGTCAGTCTCTCCACTTCTCTTTAGTTCTAGGATCCTTTCCTTAATTCGTATTTTCCTCTCTTTTGTTTTTCTGCCTATTTAATTTATCCTCCACAGTGTAGCTAAAATGATCTAAAAGACAATGGAATGATCTCTCTGAAACACAAATACTGCTACTCCTATCACTACTGTCATTAGTTCCTTGATATGCTGGGTACTTTCCAGGTACTTTGCCTGTATTAGCTCATTGAATCCTAATAATGCCTCTAGGAAGTGA